TTCCGGGACACCACCCACGCCCTCCAACTCCTCCGAGACTTCCAATTCCCTGGCACCCAACACCGCATCTTCACTATGGACATCCAATCCCTGTACACTTCCATTCTCCATGCAGATGCCCTAAAAGCCCTCCGCTTCTTCCTCTCCCGCCAGCCCAACCAGTCCCCCTCCACCGACACCCTTATTCACTTAACCAAATTCGTCCTTACCCTTACCAACTTCTCCTTCAAATCCTCCCACTTTCTACAGACTAAGGGGGTGACCATGGGTACCCACATGGGCCCAAGCTATGCCTGCCTCTTTGTAGGATACGAGGAGCTGGAACAGTTCATGAACTTTACTAACACCTTTCACCCCAACCTCAAGTTCAACTGAACCATCTCCGATACCTCTCTCTCCTTCCTGGATTTCTCTGTGTCCATCTCTGGTGGCCGCCTCGAAACCGCTATCTATTTCAAGCCCACCAACTCACAGCTACCGAGACTACACCTCCTCTCACCCACCTTCCTGCAAGAATGTGATCCCCTTTTCCCAATTCCTTTGCCTTCGCCGTATCTGCTCCCAAACATCCCAGATGTCCTCTTATTTCAAGGACTGCAACTTCACCCCTTCAGTGGTCGAAAATGCTCTCAACCACATCTCTTGCGTTTCCTGCACCTCTTCCCTCACATCTCCTTCCCGCAACAAAAACAAAGACAAAATCCCCCTTGTCCTCACATATCACCCCACTAACCTCCGGATTCAACGTATCATTCTCCGCCACTTCCGCCACCTGCAATCTGACCCCACAATCAAAGATATATTTCCCTCCCCACCCCTATCTGCCTTCCATAGGGACCACTCTCTCCACGACTCCCTCGTCCGCTCCATATCTCCACTAGCCCCACTATCCACGGCACTTTTCCCTGCAACTGCAGGAAGTGCTACACCTGTCCCTACACTTCCCCCCTCACTTCCGTCCAAGGAACCAAAAAAACCTTCCACATCAGACAGACGTTCACCTGCACATCGGCTAATGTTGTCTACTGCATCTGCTGCTCCCGATGTGGCCTCCTCTATATTGGTGAGACCAAGCAGAGGCTTGGAGACCACTTTGTAGAGCACCTGCGCTCTGTTCGTGACAAACGACAACACCTTTCAGTCACAAACCACTTCAATTCCCTCTCCCACTCCCTGGGCGACATGTCCATCCTGGGCCTCCTCCTGTGTCACAATGATGCCATCTGGAAACTGGAGGAGCAGCACCTCATATTCCGCCTTGGAACCCTACAACCCAATGGTCTCAATGTGGATTTTACCAGGTTCAAAATCTCCCCACTCCCGGCCTCATCCCATGACCAACCCTCCGTCTCATCCCCGCCTCCTTGACCTGACACAACCTGTCTGCCTTCTCTCCCTCCTGTCTGCTCCTCCCACCTCACTGACCAATCCCCACCACTGCCTACCTGCACGCATCTATCACCATCCCACCTACCTTCCCCAGCCCCACCCCCTCTCGCTATTTATTTCAGAGAACCCTTCCCCCTCCCCCATTTCTGAAGAAGGGTCCTGACCTGAAACGTCAACTTTTCTGCTCCTTTGATGCTGCCTGGCCTGCTGTATTCCTCCAGCTCCACACTGTGTTATCTCTGACTCCAGCACCGGCAGTTCTCACTATCTCTGGGAGAAAAGTCATGTTGTGTTTAACAGGGTAATTGGTTTGGGTCAGTGGGGGTAATGTTGGATGAGGGGGTTCAGTCAGAGAAGAGTAGTCAGTTCAAAGGAGAGACTGGGGAATCAGTTATGGTAGTAATCTTGGTTTTGTTGACGTTTGTCTGAGGTAGGCCACATTAACTATAGTATAAGGATGTAAGGGTCTGAAATGGTTATTACTGAGGAGTGCCTTAAGCAATACCCATTATGATGATGACAAAAGGACTTTGCTGGGTAACTGCTTAGGATCATGAAAGAACAAGGTCTACTATCCAGGTTCTCCTCATGGTTTCTGTGACCATGTCTGTTATATCAGTGCAAAATATATTTAGCTGCTAACATGTAATAATAACACTTGCTTAAGAATTCCTTCTCGTCAGACTAATAAGTGGTTTTCTTCTGTCACACCAGACGACATATCCTTGTAATTGATCACTAATAGTGCAGAGAGCCTCAGAGAGCAAAATGATCTGAGGTGAGGATTGCTCATACAACAAAAACAAGTAAAACATTTTTCAGGTAAATATCCCTAAGTCACACATATCTAGCCCAAGTCTCTGATGCTGAGCTTAGTGTCATAAATTTTCACAAGGATTCCAGGCAGTTGAAATCAGGTCTTTGCACGTTAAAACTTCCCAGATAATTTCAGCACGTGTGCGTGTTAGGACTTCCAGTATAATTTCACTGACACAGATGCCAGAAGATTTAGGCTAACAGTTTATCCTGGTTGTAATTCGTTGCGTGCCAATAACAGAATGCAGTGAAATTACCTCTTGTCTAAAGTGCATGGCTTGTGTAAACATAATTCAAGCCACTTTGTCCCATATTATGACATGGGTTTATGCAAAACCAAAATCTCTTCATATTGTCACAAACTGTGGAAGAACAGTATTGTAACACCGCATTAACTGAAACTGAGCTTCTACAAATGCAAGATTTTTATATCAATAAGTTCGGACTAGCTCTTTAATTGGGGGCAAAATGGAGGTATGAGAAGGTATTGCAGAAGTATAGGATATTGGTGAGGCCACTTTTAGAATACTGCTTACAATTCTGCTCCCCTTCTATAGGAAGTATGTTATTAAACTTAAGAGGTGCAGAAATGATTTACAAGGATGTTGTCAGGACTGGAGGGTTTGAGTTATAGGTAGAGACTGAATAGACTGGGGCTTTTCCCCCTGGAGTTACAGAGGCTGAAGGGTGACCTTTAAGAGATTTATAAAATCATGAGGGGTATGGATAGAGTGAATAGCCAAGATCTTTATCCTGGGGTGAGGGAATTCAAAACTAGAGGGCATAGATTTAAGGTGAGAGGAGTAAGATTTAAAAAGGACCCAAGTGCTAACTTATTCTCACAGTGGGTGGTGCATGTATGGAACAAGGTGCCAGAGGAAGTGGTGGAGGAGGGTACGATTGCAACATTTAAAAGGCATCTGGATGGGTATATGAATAGGAAAGGTTTAGAGGAATGTGGGCTGGCTGCTGGCAAATGGGACTAGGTCAGATTGGGATGTCTGGTAAGTTTGTTTCCATGCTGTATGAGTCTATGACTCCATGTGACTTGTTATGAATTCTACTAACGGCATTATAGATTAAAGGAGAACACGGGTTGCCTTACTGGAAAGATACTGCAAAGTATTTGAAAGACATGGTTTTTATATATTAATATTTATTTTTAGCATTTTGAGTTTTAAGCCAGTGAGTTACTTGTGTTGGTCTGTTTTTGTGGAGTGGTTTAAAAATGAATTAGGTCATTTTTACCGAACCATGACTTTAAAATCAGTCTGTCAGAGCGAGCAGGTGACTACAAGGACCCCTGGATTTTTAATGGAAGATCATTTATTATCATCAGGTCTACAAGAGGAGAAAGAAATTATGAGGCCATTAACGATAGCAAAATCTAGGATGCGGACTTTTAACTTAGTTAAAAAAAAGCTTTGAGATTCAGTTTGAAGGAGAGCTGACTGGAACCTGAAGCAAGTGTAGTCTTTCCTAGAAAAAGGAGTTGTTCAGAACAGTTAAGGAAATGAGTTGCGTCAGTGAAAGAGCATAGTTTGTGAAACTTCCAGACTCAGAATATTAACTCTGCAAAAGAGTGAGAAAGTCTAAGCTCTCAGCTGTATGAGTGGTCAAGGGAAAATGCCTCATAGCTCAATAGATCAGAACTGAGGTAAAGCAGTTAAATCAAACCAACAGATTTGACAGGGGAGGGAATTTTTTTTGAGTAACTGTGACCTGATGTGTTGGAAGTAGGTCGGATTTTATTTTGCCACGTACTTTGAAATCTTTCAAACTGTGTTGTTTCAATTTAGTTTTATTTATTTTGTGTAATAATTTTGTCTTATTGATAAAATGAAATCTTCAACCCTATGTGCTAAATTTTTCATTAAAGGACTGCTACTTGAATTTAAAGAAGAAACAATATATGATCTATCAGGCCAGATTTCATGCTGGGATCTTACTTATCCAATGCTTAGAACAACTGGGATTACAAGAGTTTATGTCTGCAGACAATGGGAAAAGCATTTGTGCAGATGGTGGATAGTTTGTTAGTCTCCAATGTCCCAGGTACGAGCCAGGAATGCAAGATTTTTTAAATGGTTAGAATGTACGTCTGTTTAATTTTTTAAAAAATATGGAACAGAGAGCTAATCAGCATTTCCATCCAAAACATGGGCAATGATTTGCACATTGTTGTGGAGGCAGATTTTGAAGGCGATTCCATAGAAGCACCTGTAGGACTGCCCACTGGGTGTTTTCTTTAAAAAACACTAAAGCTTACAAGCAGTTTCAGCTTGCAAGAATCTGACAGACAGCAACATGTTTCTAAAGTTAACAATGCAAAAAATGTGGTTAAAAGCTCATGCTCAGATTGAAGAGACCAAGGTTTTGATGAATTGTACATGACTGGAAAATTCGCCTAGTTTGGGTAGGAGGAGAAATATCCAGGTCAACCCTCATGTAAAAGCCAGTTCAGGGATTCAAACCTATCTGGCTGAGAAAAGAAAAGAAAGGAAACAAATGCTGTAGCTAAATATCACTTTACCCTAGTTCTGGAAGAATGGAATGTCCATTTAAAAGACAGAGACAAGAGAGATTTTTACTTTTAAATTGGGGATTATTTCTGTAGTTACAGTATAAAATGCCTATTAAAATATGGCTTAATGTTTTTCATTTAAGTCTTAAAATATGAAATCTCATCATATCATCCTTTCACCTATCCACTGGAAGTTCAGATTTTTTCACTTAGCAGTTTCTACAGGATCATAACCACAATAAGGACAGGTGTCTACCTTATTCTTGTTTACCTGATAGACTGGCATGTGCAATTAGTGAATGGTAACCATTTTGCCGAGGTGCACCAGGACAGTGAGAATCATCTGCTGGATGGGAATTATGAATAGCTGTTTGCTCCATTGTTCTAAATGTATCACCATACTGGAAGGTGTTTTGCATGGTGTGAAAGCTTCCTTGGTAACCTGGAAACATAGAACAATTGCATCACTGTGATCAGATTTTATGCTTATTTCAAAGTTAACAATTTATGTCAATAAGAAATTGAAATTGAAGTTTACATTTTGCTTTAAATGACAAATCCTGAGTGAATTACATTAAAATTATTTTCAAAAATGGGCACAGCTAGGGAAGTAATATGGTCAGTATACTAGCACTCCTTGGCTAAAGAAATGAATATTCTACAGAACATTTACATTTGCTCTTTCTGGCAGTGATTTTAGAGTTGCCCATGGATCTAACCTTGCTTTCTATTCTCTCTCATTTATATTGTGCCCAAGAAAGTCAGATACTATTTGTACAAAAACAGGGAGGCCTTGCTAAATCTAAACAAGGCACTGGTTAGTCCACAACTAGAACACTATAAACAGTTTTGGTGCTTATAAAAGGAAAAACCTGGCATAGGAGAGTATATCCCGGACAGTTTCCGAGAACAATGTTATGGATACAACCATGAATCTGGCATATTTTGGATATGCTAATGCATAATGAGGCAGGTTTAATAAATCATCTCAGCGTACAAGATCCATGAGGAAATAGTAAACATAAATTTAGCATTCAGCTTAAGAGTGAGAAACCTGGGGAGGAAACAATTGTGCTAAACTTAAGTAAGGGCAATTAGAAAGGAATAAGGACAGATTTGCATGACTGCACTGGAAAAGGAGATTACCAGAAAAGACGGTTGATGATCAATGGCAGATGTTTAGGAATATAGTTCATACCTCACAACAAAGATATATCCCAGTGAGGAACTTGATATTGCATGGTTAACTATGGATAATATCAAAATTGACATAAAACCCATTCAAAATGGTAAAGATTAGTGGCAAGTCAGATAACTGAAGAAGTTTTAAAAGCCAGCAAAAGATAACCGAAAAACAAGAAAAAAAATAAAATTTGAAGGTAAACTAGCAAGTAGTATTTTTTTAAAAAAGAAAGAGCTTCCTTAAATATGTAAAAAGGAAGATAGAGGCCAAAGTGAACGTAGGTGTGGTAGAGAATAAGTTGGAAATAAAAGTAATGAACCAGAAAATGGCAGAGAGGTTGAATAAATACTTTGCTTCAACGTAGAAGATGCTACTACTATTCCAAAATTACTAAATAATCAAGGGAAAAGGGGGAAAAGGAAATATATAAAATCACTAGAGATAAAGCTCTAGGGAAACTAATGGGCTAAAGGCAGATACATCCCTTGGACCTGTTGGGATGCATTCTAGGATTTTAAAAGAACTAGGAACAGAGATAGTGAATGGGCTAGTAGTAATCTTCCAAGAATCATTAGATACTGGAAAAATCCTAGAAAATCAGAAAAGGGCCAATCTGACACAGTATGTCATTGGGAAAATATTGGAGACTATTATAAAGGATATGATAGCAGAGCAGAGCATTTATTAGAATCATTTGAGGAGATACCAAGCAGGATAGATAAAGGCAAAGCAGTATAGTAATATATTTGGATTTCCAAAAGGAATTCAATTAGGCTATTTCACACATAAAGCTACTTACTAAGAGCCCATTGTGTTGTGGGTAGTTTATTTGCGTGGATAGAAGACTGGCTAACTAATGGAAGACAGAGTTGGAATAAGAGGGCAAATTACAATTTGGCAACCTGTAACTAGTGGAGTGTCACATGATCAGTGCTAGGGCCATAATTATTTATGAGGGAAGTGGATGTACTATTGCTAAGTTTGTCGATAACCCAAAAATAGGTGAGAAGATAAGTAGTAAGAATATCACAGAGTCCACAGAGGAATAAAATACTATGAACAGTTTGGTGCTTATATAAGGAAAAAACTGACACTGCAGGCAGTCCAGAGAAGGTTTGCCTGGTTGATCCTAGATATGGAGAGAATTTTTTTCTCTTTTTTTTTAGCACTGCGCCAAAATGGACAGAATTTTATATACTAGGTTAAGTAGGTTTCACCTGTACTCATTGGAGTTTAAAAGAATGAGAGGCTACTTTATTGGAACAAAACTTTTAGGGTCTTGATAGTGTGAATGCTGAGAGGTTGTTTCCCATTGTGGGTGAGTCTACAGGCACAGGGCATAATCTCAGAATAAGGAGTTGTTCTTTTGACAGTTGAGAAGGAATTTTTTTTCACAGGGTAGTGAATCTGTGAAATTCTTTCCCACAGAGGGCTTAGTCATTAAGAATATTGAAGGCTGAGAGACACTTTAATCAGTAAGGGATAAGGATTATGGTGAAAAGCCAAGAAAGTAGGTTTGAAGATTGAAGGATCAGCCATGTTCTTACTGAATGGTGGAGCAGACTATGGGCTGAATAGCCTACCTCTGTATTTATGGTCATTGTCTGACACTTGTGTAGTGCAATGACACTTGTCAGCCCAAACCTGGACATTGTCCAGGTCTTGTAGCATTTGGTTGTGGACTGCTTTAGTATCTGAGGAGTCACGAATGATGCTGAAAATTATGAAATCATCAGTGGACACCGTCACTTCTGACTTTACAATGGAGGGAAAGTCGCTGATGAAGCTGCTGAAGATGGTTGGGTCTAGGACACTTCCCTGAGGAATCTCCACATCGATGTTCTTGGGTTGAGACACGGAATGCAAATAACCACAACCGTCTTCCTTTGTGCACAGAATGAATCCAACCAGCAGAGAGTTTTCCACCTGATTCCCTTGACTCTAGGTTTGCTGGGCTCCATGATGGCACACTCTGTCAATGGCAGTTCTCTCTCACATCAATTCTGCAGTTCTGCTCCTTTTTTCATGTTTGAACTAAAGCTGTAAAGAGATCAGGATCCAAGTGGCCCTAGTGGAACCTAAACTGGGCGTCAGCGAACAGGTTATTTCTAAACCAGTGCTGCTTGATAGCATTGTTGATAAACCCTTCAATCACTTCATACATGATTGAGAGAAAAGACTGATGGGGTAATAATTGGCTGTGTTAGATTCATCCTGGTTTTTGTGTACAGGATATACCTGGGCAATTTTCCATACCAGGTAGATGCCAGTGTTATATCTGTACTAGAACAGTAGTTTGGCCAAGGGTGCAACAAGTACTGGAGTACATATCTTCAGTACAATTGCTGGAATGGATTCAGGGCCCATAGCCTTTGCAGTGTTAATCATTTCTTGATATCACATGGAGTGAATCACATTGGCTGAAGACTGGCTTCTGTGATGCTGAGGACCTCTGCAGGAAGCCGTGATAGATCATCCCTTTGCCAGCAGTTGCAAATGCTTCAGCCTTATCTTTTACTGATGCCGTGGACAACCGTCATTGAGGATGCGAATATTTTCATCTCCTCCACTGAATTTTTTAATGATCCACCACCATTCATAACTGGATGTGGTAGGACTGCAGAAGTTAGATCTGATCCATTCCTTGTGGAATCGCTTAGCCCTTTCTATCGCTTATTGCTTAAGCTGTTTGGTACGTAAGCACTCTTCTGTTATAGCTTCACCAGGTTGGGTCCTCATTTGTAAGTATTTTATTTGTAAGTATGCCTGATGCTGTTCCTGGTGTGCACCCCTGCACTATTCATTGATTGTGCATAAATATGTACCACAAAAAGAATACGTTCGCAAATTCTATGAATTAAATTCATTGTTATATTCGGTAAAAATGCTTGCATGAGGGAGAAATGGAAAAGAATTCATAGAAAGACATGCAATATAGACCACATAAGCATCCAATATGCACAAACAGTTGTGACATTAATCACTTGTTATATTTTACTTATACGAAGGTAATGTATTCATTGAATAGTAACTTGTAATTTAAGATTATTGTCCACATGCCTGTGTAGTTTTTGTGCCATAATTTAATCTTTTCCATACTGTTAGACTTTATTTTCAAATTAATTCTGAACATACAAATAATCCCATTTGTGAGACCGTTCATAGATAATTACTGGTGGATTAACTGAAAATTCCTTCAATTTCAAACAAGCAACATTTGAATCTTGACTGACAAACCACACTCTAATAACACACAACAAAATAACAACAGTAATTAAACTGAACAAAAATTGAACATAGAGACTGAACCCTTCTTCTTTCTCTCCCTCCGAAACTCCAGTAAGTCTTGTCCAGTAATACATTCTTTATATACTGTCTCAGAAACCACTGTGACTATTAGGTTCCTGCTGACTAATAGGCAACTCACTTCCTTTCATGGTTTATGTTTATTTCATTCATTTTAGTATTCATTCATTTTGACAGTGATTGTTAACTAATCCTGAACTTTCAACAGTAACAATGGGAAATGATGGTCATTCTCCATTCTTTTATCCTTTGTGTTTTACATTTACCAAAGGGAATTTCATGTTGCATGCTTTCAAAGTCTGTGAAGTGTCTATTTTCCTAAGATGCTTATACTTGCTGGGCTTCACTTAAAGGCACAGGAAGCCCATGAAAACCTGCCTGAGTGTTGGCCGTTCTTCAAGATTGAGGCAGTAATTAAATGTCAAGGGATTAATCACCTATGGGTATTACCCAATTCTGTGGCATGTTATATGGCTGTAATATAAGGTGTGTGATATCTATATATAATAGAATCTGGATTTTTCACTAATGGCATGTGAATTTTGGTCTCAGTGTCTGTGAGGCTCTAATAATTAATTTATCCTTATTTCTAAAGCATGATTTTATTTAAAATCAGTATGGAAGGGAGAGAGTATCTAAAATGTTAACAGGAATTTGTATTGCTTTGGAAGAATTTTATGAGCAGACAGAATAAATATTGATGAATATTAGCCTGCTTTCAATTAAAAGGATCAGGAGTGGATTTTTTTTTGGTTTGGAAAAACACTCATAGCTTGGAAAGCTTTTGGTTTCAGTTTGGAGAAGTTCTGGTTAAAGTTAGATGTAAGAACACAATTCTCCTGGAGCAAGAAGTTAGTTTAGAAAAGCTAAAAATAGATTACCTCAGTGCAAGGCTTTATTTTAGAAGTTCTGAAGAAGTGTTTAGTTAGAACACTGAAGGGGTCATTTGAAGCTGAGAAAATATAAGCTCAGTTGTGTGAATACCCAAGGGAAGGGTTATGAAGTTTGGGAATTGAAACCAGCAGTTAAGTCATTATCAGTAGGTTTATACAGAAGGGAATTCTCTCTGGTGTTTGAGAATTCCCTTTTCAGAGTTCTAACCAAATATTTTTCTGGAATTTTCAAATTAAACCTTTGCTGTGAGGTAATCCTAGTTGTAAAGAAATGCTATGGGAAAAATAGAATAGTGTATTTCACTGTATGTTTTGACATTGTTCAAATTATGTAATATGTGAATAGCTTTTTTTTTTCTATTTCATCTTAAAAGGTAAATTAGAAAAGAACAAAATATGATCTATCAAGTCTGCGATCTGATTTGTCTAATAATAAAATCAGCAGTTATGAAAACAATCTGTAAATTCAGTTTCAATTGTGATCTACACTTTATGATCAAAATCAGACACCTGACAGACTTTTCCTTTTTCCAGCCCTGGAAACACCAAAGTCAACTCCATTTCTATGTTATGATTTACTTGGTTGTTACTGTAAGTGGCTGAAGTTTCCTTTGCTTTTCTGTGCTGCCCACCCTTCCCCAATTTTCTGTCCTTCTTCTGCAGAAATTAGCTCGCTGTGCCATGGTTTCACAGGAACAGGCTACCCTTATACCTCACTTAAATGGTCACCGTAGATATCTGACTATTTCAAGAGTGTCAACAAACTTCTCTATTAAGGGTGGCATCCTATCCTGATGCAAACTCTCCCACATGTTACATTTTTCTTTTCCCTCATTAACATTTTTCTTTTTTTTCATTAATTGACTGAAACTGTATGCAGCACTTCCACTCCAAATAAATAGAATCAATTTGGAACCTGCTTCACTTTTTTCACTCAACATCACAGTTCTTTGCCCATCTAGAATATCTCAGAGAATCCTATTAATGTTGAAATTCTACTAAATTTTAAAATTTATTAGCATCAAATTTCTGACAACAAAATGAAATCCTCAAAAAGGTTTATTCTACAGGATCATTATGATATAGTTTACTAAAGTGAAATATATTGCTTACATCAAAGTTTTAAAAAGTATGAGTGCTTGCATCTTCTGTTCCACACTTGTACTTCCCCTATGATTTCCCCAAAAATGTTTCAAAGTACCTGCTTGGAGGGGTTGCATCAGCTGGCTTTGGAAGACTGGGTTGTACTTGTGGTCCCCTCCACTGAGTTGGTTGTTGGATGGCTGAGGTGAGTGAGGACCATGCCTCTGCAGCAGCGTTGGAGCTAACATTTTCCTTGGACTGACCAGAGAAGAAAAAGGAAGTATAATTGGTCTGGCCCTGCAAGGAAATGTGTTCATTTCAGTAATGTAGTCTTACAAGAGCACTTGTTGCATTGATTTTGTTTCTGAAAATGCAGTAATAAGCTCCAGTTTCCCAAGTTTCTGCCGGTGATCTGCCATTGGTGGGTACAGCACATGAAACTGTGTGATAGATTCGCTATGCTTTGTTTAAGTGATATATTCTGTGAAATGAGGTCCTATGCTCAATTTCACCACTTTGCTCACGCACACGCACATAATTCAGCCCCATAGAATAGATAAACTACAGGCATTACGGCTGTAGAGCCCATGTTCTGAAAGGAAACTCAGATTCTTGCTTTTTGGGCATTCTAACACTAGGCCAAATTAGATAGTCCCTGTAAATGGTGGTTGGGATCACAATGCACAACTGATCTGCACCCATTGACTTCTCACTTAAGCAATTTCTGTATCAAGCCAATATCAGATGTGTTGTTCATTGGCTGGAAGTATCAGAAGGAGTCCAACATAGTGAATGGTTGGCATGACTTATAGACAGGCTGCAATTTTTAAAGTTAGCCAGCACCTCTTGGAGACAGAGTGCATTGTGGCTGGAGCAGATACTGGGAGTTATATTTGAAGATTAATTTATCCTGGGAAAGAGTCAACTGAAAATCTTGATGAAAAGTTGGCGAAAATGGAGTGAGGAGACACTCCAGACACATAGTCAAAAGTAGTGGAGGAAGATAGCTGTGAGAGTCAATACCTGGAGTTTGGCAATAAGGACCAAGATACACTACTGCAAGCAGCTCAGTGTGCTACAATTCACTGGGGTATTGTGGTGGAAATCAAGTCTTGCTATTTCCAGAGTTGTCACAAAAGCTAAATATTTTAAAAGTTTACCAAGTTCCCCAATTTATCTGACTTTCAAACCCAGATTGATAGAAGACGTGGATCTGGTTTCTGTACTGAATAGGAATCACTATTAAAAGTGATTAGAATCTAGCTATATGTAAATAGTTGTAAACCAGCATATAATACTATGAATTAAGACTCTAAATGTTGCAGACTTTCAATCAAACATACCAGCTCGGTGAGCAAGTCTGCAACCCGAACTACAAATCTTCTCAAAAACTTTAATTAAAACTCTATTACCGTTACAGAGTCATAGAGTCATACAGCACAGAAACAGACCCTTGGGTCCAGTTGGTCCATGCTGATCAAGTTTCCCAAACTAAACTAGTTCCACTTGCCAGTGCTTGGCCCATATCCCTCTAAACCTTTCCTAATCATATACCTATTCAAATGTTGTTTAAATTTTGAAATGTACCTGCATCTACCTTTTCCTCTGGCAGTTTATTCCACATATGAACCACCTTCTGTGTGAAAAGGTTGCCCCTCAGGTCCCTTTTAAATCTTTCTCCGCTCACTTTAAAAATATGCTGCCTAGTTTTGAACTCCCCCACCCTAGGAAAAAGACCTTTGCTATTTACCTCATCTATGCCCCTCATGATTTTATAAACCATTATTTATAAGGGTCACCCCTCAACCTCCTACATACAGTGAAATTTTATAAATTCATCCTTACACACACCCACAGACAAACAGACAAGGTAAAATAGGTTATAGTCAGAGCATAAAGAGTTTCAGTAGTCTTTGTTCCAGATACTGTTGTGATTGTTCTGTTGGTCACCACATTGCTTCAGTTGTCTTTCTCTAAATGTGTTCACAGTTTTGTAAGAGACACAAGTTGGGTGGTTCACTTATAAAAAAAATTTCTGGCTTGTCAGTTAAAAGTCACAGTTTAGAACAACTGTTGCTGTAAAGGTAATCTAATTTTCTTCTGGGTCAGTGAGTTTTTACTGTGGAGAACATAGAGATCACTCCTGAGCCGGGGAAGAACTGAACTGCTCTCTCTTTTTAACTTGTTTCTAAGGTTTTAGAGTAGATTTGTAGACTTTCAACTTGTTTTCTGCTTTAAGCTTTTAAGTTACCTGTGAACCAATCACAGTTTTTGGCAGTCAAAAAGGTCTTTGTCATTGGTCTATGGACTAACGACCAGTTATCAATCAACTTCTTTTTGTCAGCAAAAGCTGCATCAGTACAGCCCCTCAGCCTAACGTGGCTGCACCTTTGCAATCACTGTTTATTCAAACAGTTGTTTACATGATTCTTGGCATAGGTGCCCCGATACTTGCTTTTCAAACTGCAGCCACTCTTGTAGCACTTCAGCCCTTTCTCATTTAAGTCCAGAGTTTTAAAATTACAAAAGAAGATACTGTCCTTGCAAGTGACCTTACATGTGTAGTCAAGGTTCGTGAATGCACCTTCAAATACTATATCAGCTGAACTACACAAGTAGTCTCAGCTTAATTCCACACACCAGAAATTTCAATCAGCCTGGGCTCACACGTAACATTAATACACTTCATATCACTCTCATACACTGAGCAGTACTATAATTTTCACACTCACACTTTACAGGTTGCAAACACCTACTGGTATTCAATCATAACAGCTACATCACATAACCGTAGCGTATTTTGTTCATTGACAGTTCCCTCTCATTTGTAGGACGAAGTGGCACAGAACCAGCAACAGCAGAAACTTGTCGCAGGAGGCCAGGTATTCCCGCATATTCTGAATGCTTTTGCAGGAGAAATACTGCCATCAAATCCTGAGGGTACCAGCAGGACTGAAGACAGAAAAAAATTGTCACCTCAGACCTAATCCTCATTCTCACATCCTATTGCCACTTCATCCCCTGCTCTTACTTTTATATCCCTTGCTGCACCACACCTTACCCTTGAGACTTCTTATTTTCAGATACTCAAGGTCCAACCTGTTGAGGAAGTGAAGGAATAGGAAGAAAGGTGTGTTTATGTAAACACAGTATTCTCACTTGATTTCACCTTTGAAACCATCAACTGGGACAACAAATGGTGCATATCCTAAAGAATAGATTACAGATGGAATCTGAGGCATTGGACTTGACTAAGTTGCAGCCATTGCAGGAGGCAAGCATTGCACAGGTACCAGCTGTCTGGAGAGTAGAACATAGAACATAGAACATTACAGCGCAGTACAGGCCCTTCGGCCCTCGATGTTGCACCGACCGGTGAAACCAATCTGAAGCCCATCTAACCTACACTATTCCATTATCATCCATATGTTTATCCAATGACCATTTAAATGCCCTTAAAGTTGGCGAGTCTACTACTGTTGCAGGCAGGGCATTCCACGCCCTTACTACTCTCTGAGTAAAGAACCTACCTCTGACATCTGTCCTATATCTATCACCCCTCAATTTAAAGCTATGTCCCCTCGTGCTCGCCATCACCATCCGAGGAAAAAGGCTCTCTGTCCACCCTATCTAACCCTCTGATCATCTTGTATGTCTCTATTAAGTCACCTCTTAACTTTCTTCTCTCTAACGAAAACAGCCTCAAGTCCCTCAGCCTTTCCTCATAAGACCTTACCTCCATACCGGGCAACATCCTAAGTTTATATGTGGATTCTGCTGCAGAAGATACAGATCAGGACTTAAATGGATTCCCTACAAAAAAAAATCACTAAGGAATATGCATAACAAAATGTTTGATGTACTGCAAAACCTGATAGAAAGCCTACAGTCAATGACAAGGAGCGTGGAGGAGTTCGGCACTACTTGGCACAAAGCTTTCTCCAGAGTCTTGAGATAATCCTTCCTAACATAGAATTAGTGGCCAACTCCGTTCACACACTTGTAGATCCAAATGTAAACTGCATAAGAATGTAAGAACTAGGAGCAGGAGTAGACCATTCAACTCTTCAGGCCTGCCCCAGGTCTGAATGTCTCTTTCGTGCCAGCACTTGATATGCCTCAAGTCCCTGATATTTCAAAACTCTTTGTATCTCCTTTTTAAATATTGATCTAGCATTCAGAACTCTTTGAGATAGAAAATTCCAGATATTTACTATCCTCTGGGAGAAGGAATTCTGTTACTTCTTTGTTTTAAATGGTGTGTCCCCTTATTCTGTAACTATGTGCTCTAGTTTGAGATTCCCCTATTAGTGGAAACATTACCTCAACATCTACCCTGTCAAGCCCCCTCAGAATTTTGTATGTTTCAATAAGATAACCTTTCATTCTTCTAACTCTAAAAACGTAACCTGTTTAGTGTTCTTGATAGGCTTCATACCAATGAGTCTTGTGAATCTCTTTTGAATCACCTCCAATTCCAGTATATGCTTCATTAACTACTGGGACAAAACTGTAAATAATACTGCATGTGAACTGATCAAACCCTGTACAGTTGTAAAAGACTTACCTAGTTTTTAAACTCCCTAGCAATAAAGGCTATCTTTCCATTTGCCTTCTAAATTACTTGTACTTGCAAGCTAAAATTTTGTGTTTCATGCACTCTTCTTTCTCTTCATTTGATTCTTCCTAACAAAGTGCATGATCTTGCACATTCCTACATTAAACTCCATCTGCCAATGCCTTTTGACCCACACAATCTGTCTATATCTTCTTGCAGATTCTTTATGTCCTTGTTCCAGCATGCCCTCTCACCTAGTTTTGTATCATCAGCAAATTTTGATACTTCACACTGTGCTGCCCCCTCCTTCAAGACACTGACATAGATAGTAAAGGCATAGGACTGATTCTTTTGACACTCCAGTAGCCACATCTTTTCAACCTGAATAAGAACAATTAATACCAATTCACTGTCTTCTGTGTGTTAACTACTCCTCAATCCATCCTGATACATTACCCCCAATATCATAAGGTCCTAACTTGTCTGTGCCACCTGATCGAATATCTTCTGGAAATTCAAAGACATTGCATCTACTGGTTCCCTGTTATCAACTCTGCTTGCTATAGCCTCAAAAAACTTTAGCAAATTTGCCAAACATAATTTTTCTTTGACAAAACCATGTTGAGTCTGATTGCATGAAGTTTTTTTTAAAATCCTATTTCCTTGTTGATAGTGGACCTTTCCCAACAACAGAAGTTAA